ATAGCTTCAGAAGAGCCAGAGGTGCATGCATCCATATGAACCAGGACATAAAACACGTTGCTGTTGAGATTTGATCAGATGTCATTTGTTTTCATGGTCTCAGGAGCAAAAAGGAATCCAGTCTCCTCCATTGTAAAGAGAAGGCAGATTCTCAGATGAACAGCTCATCACTTTGGTAAACCAGCTGAAAACACTCTCTAGTGGCTCAACACCACAAGGGCAATGATTTGTGAGGTGACTCAAAGTATCTGGTATTGCAATATCTTTTCCCCTCCACTTCCTGGGATGAAATATGATTCTCCTCCAGAGGCACTCTGTCCTGCTGTTACTGAAACTTGACAAGTAAATACATCAACAAAAACATGAGGAGTTTCAAACACATGGAGTCAAAATTAAAATGAGGTGTGTGGATGGGATTTAGACAAAGAGGTAAGTCAGAGGCTGAATATTTTGGTTGCAGGAAGGGGACAAAGTGTCAGTAACCAAAGACTGAGTGTGTATGAGGTAATCCTGTGGTGAGCATATTTTCACTCATTTCCTGGCAGTGGAGGGACCTGTGTGCTCCGTGGGGAAGGTGTGCTTTTTGTGCATTGTAACAGAGCTCACCTCAAAGCAGATCCCTCAAGGGGGCACACACACACACACACACACACACACACACACACACACAGAGCGAGGGAGAGCGAGCTCCCTGAGTCACAGGGTGGAACCCTCACACAAATAAAGGGTGCTTTGTGCCCCAACTCATGGAGCTGTCAACCAACACCAGGGAGTTTCTCACACTGAACACCACTGTTCACAGGAGAGTGGGCAGACTCTGCTTTTATGTACGCCCTCACAAAAATGTATCTACATCTCCAACTAATCTGTGGCTCAGTGCCTTATAACTACAGGTGCACTCAGTGTAATTGAAATTTGAAAGTAAAGTGGTGGAAGGGGCCTTGCAGGTTTGGACTTTCCATTTTTGTCAAGCTATATCCTACAGTCATATTATAATATTATAACTGGAGAGCTATTTACCTGTTTGTGTGTCTGCTATTCCTCCAAATTCCATCCTCCAATCCTCACACTCTGCATTTGCATATGGCCGTTGTCATCAAGAAGAAGATGTTGGGTAAAATTCTGATGCTGATGCATACTAATGGCTCCCTGTCTCAGCATTCCTATACGCTCCGTATTGATGTGAAAGATACAACCTGATAAGAACAACAACCCCAGGGAGCAGCCATGTTGTGCACTTACAAAACTTCCCATGGAAGACATTCTATTTCCTTTCTCAGTTTCCATCAACAAAGGACAAGAAAATTGTGTTTCCTTACGGCCGACTCTGCACAAACCAAATCAAAACCTCCTTATGAGAATGTGACATGTATACAGTTCCTCTGCTGAAAATGTCCTTACCTGGTTCTTCTCTGTCCTCTTCCTATCCATCCTCCCTTTTCCCTCTTTGTACACACACACACACACACACACACACACACACACACACACATTGTGTTAAACTGAAGAAATTACATGTAGTTACCAGGAATGTGGAAAATATTGTCACTGACAGTTTGGTGTTTAGCACAATCATTCCAGTACACATGGAATCACTGGCTCCATCTTGTATGTATAATTAGCTAATAACACTGGATGACTCGATTTCTAACCCTCTTGAGGTTGAGCCAGGCATCAGTTTTTCATTCAGCGAGCAGGTTAGTAAAAACTTGAGATCTCTGCTTCTTTAACCCACCCACTCACATGCAGAAGTGTACTGCCTGTAGCGTGTCCTTGCTCCAACCCATGACACACACATCCACATCGTCGTTCCACAGTTTGTCACTGTGACCTAGAGGTACAAGCTTCCTGAGAGTTTAAAGCTTCCACACTTCATTACATATGCATCAAACAACACACACACACACACAAACACACACACACAGAACACACAAACACACACACACTGTACTGCAGGCATCCTTCTGCCACATTTTCTATTGCTGGGATCATTTCTGTTCTTGCTCAAATTCCTGTGTTTGCATATGTGTATGTGTGTGTGTCTGTGTGTGTGTGTGTGTGTGTGTGTGTGTGTGTGTGTGTGTGTGTGTCTGTGCGTGTGTGTCTGTGCGTGTGTGTCTGTGTGTACGTGTGTGTGTGTGTGTTTGGGTTTGGGTTTGGAGGATGTGTTTACTATTTGATGGATAATTCCTTTAATCAACTTTATGCTCCAGTTCATCTAAGCGTTGAACAATGCAGCTCCACGGGGGAGAAGTGTCCTCGCTCAAACTAAAAGCCCTTTTTAACAAGTCACAAAAACAACTTTTAAAAGAGTCCAGCATCTAATAAAACATCATCAGGAGACAACTTTAAATATGTGATTTAATTTAAGTGGCGGGAGAGACCTATTTATCATACCTCCAAGTACCAAAGGGATTTAATGTCAAATATGAGACAATATTTATTCCCTGACTTAATTTGAGCCATTTTTATATTTGCACAGTACGTTTATTATGTTTGTGTGGCCTTTTCAGGGACGCAGTTTACTAAAAGACTCAGTACCAAGGGAAGTGACTCGTTGGCAGCACAAATTTATAGACAAAAATGTACTCAAGAACTACATTAACTTTTCTACTTGAGTAAAAGTAAGTGAGTAATTACTTTTAAATATATTTCAAGTGCTAAAAGCAAAAGTGCATCTTATTCCCTAATGTCAAAGTCTATGACATAATTATGGGGCGGGGTCTAATGTTATCTGCCTGCTCTGATTGGATCAGTGGATCAGTTCCCTCTAGCTACTGATTACTTTAAAAAATATAGAAAAACAATGTGAACATGTAACACAATGCATTTAAAAAATGTTGTACAGTTGAAAGTACATATAGTTGCTATGATATGTAGTGAAGGAAAAGTGAAAAGTACTCGAAAACAAATGTACTTTAATTAAGTAAAGTACAGTAAAGTACAGATGCATGAAATATGTCAGTAACTAAGTAATTGTCTCATCTCATCACTGCTCATCAGTGACAGGGTTTTTTGTTCTCATCATCATCTCGTTCATCATCCTCAGGTTTTCTGATGGTCATGTCTTTTCCAGGCTTCTGATTATTTGACCATCAGTGCATTGCATCCCAGGAGGAAGGGTCCATCACATGACGGGCTGCAGTACGGGGTTGCATGCTTGGATGTAACTCGACAAACTGTGAAGATCACCAGCCCTGAGCACAAATTCAATGAAGCTATTTTAAGTGTTTGGAGGGAGTTTCTCCGAAACCCACAGGCTCTGAGATCGTAAATGTCATCTCAAATTAAAAGATGCATTTATCATTTTCATCTGTCGTTTGTCATTAACTGCCTCATAAAAAACACTTAACACAACTGGAGTAAAGTTCAGATACTGACTCACTTAATAAGAAGCTACAGCCGATGGTAAGCTTAGCATGAAGACATGAAACAATGGGAAACAGTTAGCCTGGCTCTGTCCAAAGGAAAGGGTCAGTTCAACTGTAAAGCTACAACACACATGGAGAAACTCTGTTTAATATGTGTCTGCACATGCTACTCGAACGACTGTGTAGCTGTGACATGTGTCTATGAAGCACGCAGCTCTTATTCTGTTTGTCCAAACGTCATTTCTTTAACCTATAGGCCTGGGCAAAATGGCCATAAATTATATTTAGATGAAAATATTGTCAATATCGATACATTTCACCAGAAATGTAACATTGTGGGGAGTGATATTTGATCCTGAGTGAAGACTTTGATGAGTTTTAGACTCTTCTTTTTCATAAATATTAACATTAACACAAACACTTGATAAACACTTGATAAACATTGCATATGATCGCTGTCATCAAGAAGAAGACGAAGAAGATGGGTAAAATTCTGATGCATACTAATGGCTCCCTATCTCAGCACTCTCTGTATTGATGTGAAAGATATAACCTGACAACTCTAGGGACAGCCATGTTGTACAGTTACAAAACTACATTCTATTTCCTCTTAAAACCTGAGTCTAACTTCCTTTCTCAGTTTCCATCAACAAAGGACATGAAAAGTGCGTTCCCTTACGGCCAACTCTGCACAGCCTTCTCCAGAGGTAAGACGGCTATGGTGGCCGACACGTCTCAGCGTGGGGGGTTCTAGGATCAGACCTCAGCTCCTGGTGAGAATGTGACATGTATACAGTTCCTCTGCTGAATCACATGTGACATGATGAATTAATACTTTCATATGTTTCTCTTCCTTACCTGGTTCTTCTCGGTCCTGTTCCTATCCATCCTCCTTTTTCCCTCTTTGCAACAAAAACTATTTTGTTTAGAGTTATATTGCGTTAATTATCATTACTGTTTTAATGCTCAGCCCTAAAATGTGATTTAAAAACAAATTCCATGTGTAATATCTATGGGATTTTATTCAATGTAATACTCTATCATTGATACTAACCTGTTATTATCGCCCGTCATCTATAGTTTCAAATTTCTGCACACCTAAAGATTTCAATAAATTAGTATAAATAACAGAAACAATGTATGTAACTGCATACAATTTGTGTTGGTAGATTTTATGCTTTACTATATAAAAAAAACATTTAACAGTCTTGATTTGCTAAAAATAAAAAATACATGCAACAAAATGAAAGAGAGAAATGGACATTTTTTGCAGTTAGCTACAAAACCACTTTATTGAAAAAGCAGATTATGTCATCTACAGTTAAATGATACGTCCCGATTTTAATACATTAAATAACTTTAGACTTTTTTTCATGTTTAGATAAATAGATCTAGTTTCCTTTTTTATGAACCATCTAGGTAATCAAAAAACATTTTAGAGATACAAAACTTGTGTGACAGGTGTTGAGATGTGCTTATTGGAACTACCAGTAGGAGAAAAAAAAAAAACTTCTTCTCTTTCCAAGTGATTTCTGACAGAAAAATAAAATAAAAAACTAGCCTCTTTATGTACAAGGTAACTAGCTGTGTGCTATGCAATAGAAACTGAAGTAGCACTCTTAGAACAGGTGGATTAAGACATCTTTTAAAGGGGATACACTCTTTACAGTCTTTTTAGGTTGATATTGTGCAGGTTTAGTCCAGAAAATGCCTCATTCTTAATGACCAGATTCCTTGTACACAGCTGAGGTAAAAACACATCTGGCGACAGGGGGAATGTTTCGTGTATCAGTATGCAGTCTCTGCTTTTACACATATACAACTAGGAGGAGAACAAACACTAAACATTATTACATTCCAATGAATCTCATTACATCAGGTTACATTAAAAAAGCACTTTCTGCCGGTGGCAACCCCTGGCTTCAGTCTCTGCTTCAGTCTTTGACACATTCAGTAGTATTTATTCACACGTGTGTCCATTTTACAGTATTACAGTATGAATAAGAGCTGTGCCACAGTTTGGAAATAACAGTTGGCGATTGTTTTATTCTCTGTTGAATTAACCACACGGGTGGAGTTTGCTACAGTCGGAATATGATTCACTGATCAGATACTGCAACATGTGTGAACCCGTCAATGTGCTGAAACAACATCAAGGTACGTGATGGACCACATCAAAATCATCACTGAGAGAGCGGGGGTCACTGTGTTGGATGCTGTGCTGCCCTGCAAACACAGTGAGGTGCATGTGCCATGGCCCTGCCACTGGTGCACACACACACACACACACACGCACGCACACACACACGCGCACACACACACGATTTGCACACACAGTCGGGTGTTATCTGCATAAATCAGATTTTTGTTTGTGCAGGAATGAGGCAGTGATTTTTACCTCAAAAGAAAAAGTTTCCTACAATATCCTGAATTCTGGCTCCATGAATGAGCTGATGAGCTCCAATCCTAAAAAAGGCATAATAACAGAAACCCAGTGGAGAGGGGTGAAGAGACTTTTCCACCAGCACCACCACAGCTCAGAGTTGTTTTTCTGTCTCTGTTTTTCTTTTGCATATACACACGCTACTCACAGAAACAGTCATTCACACACACTCAGACGCACCTAACAAGCAGGGGAAATACGGTTGGGGGAGGGGGGCTTCCTAAAAACGTGGGTGGGACCAGCAGCTCCAGGTTTTAAGGGATGTTCCCCCAAAAAACACAACAGCAGACTTCATGGCGGACCAGGAGCCTGCACCACGAAGCGAGTTCAGGGGGTTATCCAGCTGACAGTGGGTTTAAATCAAGTTTGTTTATATCATGAAGGTGGCTCAGTTTAAAAAAAAAAAAAAAACTGGGATAGATCACCATGGTTACCTAGAGTACATGGCTAACTTGATCTGGAGCAGGTTAACATCAGGGGATGAGAATAGAAGCTGTCAGCTGCCCGACCACTGACCAGAGCAGATCCCTGGGAAAACATTTCTACTGGGTGATGGACAAAAGAGTGAAAAGTGATAAATTATAAAGATCAATAGATAATTTGTATAAATCAGTGGAATTGTTCTGCTGCTCCAGACTTAGTTTACCACCTAATAGCCACATAATGAGGACAACAGCCACATTTCGATTAACTGAACAAAGATGATCAGAGAGATTCCTGACAGTGTTGATGTTTTACACTCTGATTGTGCCACAGCAGCTCAGACTAACAAGAGGAGAGATAAATACCTGGAACTTGAACATTCTCATAGCCAGATTAGTAAATCCAGAGTTAACAGAGCCAGCTGATAACTAAGCTTCATCATACAGTTCATCCAGGAGGGCCGGTGTCAGGCTCAGTGAAGCCAGAAAACCCGGAGACTGATCTGAAGGTGCTTCATGGTACAGGCCCCAGAGCGAGACGCACAAACATACCTGTTCTGTCTTAAGGCATGCGGACAAGTGGAGGTTCCTCATAGGAACACTGTGTTCTCAGTGCTCGTGTGACAAAACCAGTGTCTGGAAAAAAAACATACCAGGAGTCAGTGTCCTGGACAGACCTGAAGCTGAAAGGTATTTGAAAAAAAATCATGCAGTGTTTCATTCCTCTTTGAGCAGCAAATGGCAAGATGCCAAATTCATATGCCAGCGTGGGAGGTGTCACTAACTGAGAATGACTTTAAAATTCATACGAGACCCTTTCACATTTATCTCTATTGAAGGAATGTAGCTACTTCTTGATGACTGATTTCCATAGTACTCATGGATTCATAGACTGAGTCCAAAGCAAGTATAAATATAGAATATAACACATACATGGCAGCATGTCCCCACACAGGCTTTACTTTTAGTAGTTTAAGTAGTTTTATCTGTTAATTAGTGCACCATCTCTTCTCGCTCTACACAGCCTGCACCGTACATTCTGCTATCGCTTGCTGGGTCTGCTGACAATCACAAATGCCCTGTGGAGAAAAATAAAAGATGCAACCATGAAAGATATTTTACAAGCACAGACATGGTAATTGCTTATTTCTCGGTAAATCTCGGAGAGAGATCATTTGTAAACACAGTGGCACCACTGAAGGAAAGCATATTTGTCTCTTTTATGGGAATTAAATTCAACAGATCAGAGATCAGAAATGTTTGACACTTATAGCTGGTGGGAGGGCTAATCTGTGTAAAACTAACTAATTTGTGAACTTGTCATTTGCTACTCAAAGTGAAATGAAACAACTACAGGCAAATACTATTTGAGCAAAGTCTGCTTTAAAAACTGTGGATCTCTGACCCACTGACAAACTGGAGGAGGCTCCGTGTCCTGGACGAGAAATGATACGAAAGACCAAACGTGTTCCGAGGCGTCAGACAGTGTTTCACCTCTGAATTTATCACGAGCGCAGCAACAACAAAAAAGAGAATCTACATCTAGGATCTTATGTGGAAAACATCTGCAAAATATATATTCATATATAAAAGAGAATCTATGTGCATCTAAAATTTTCTTTTTCCGTCATAATATAATCATTAATTAAGACACTGCTTGTGAATCTCTCGAGGTCTCGTCTAAGATTTCTATAAGTGGAATGTCAGTCGGTCCTCTGGGCTCGCGGTGCTACGGTGCATCTGTTTTGTTGGGGTGGTGCAAGAAGAGGGGCGATGATTCAACAGTCTTTTTTTTCCTCTCACAGCTCTGTGTCATGATGATGGGTGTCCTTTGCATAGCCTTTAGCAGGGCTCCATTTCAGTGTTAGTAGCTGCACATAGAGGGCCCCACTCTGAAGGCACAGCATGCCCACCCCTGGGGCCTGTCTGGCCCTGTCGGCACTGGAATGTAGTGGCTCGTTCCCTGGTCTTCCTGCCACCGAGTTCTCAGACGTGACAGCACTGGTGAATCCTCTGCGGTGAACCACTTTAGTCAGAGCGCAGGAATGAAAAACATTGAAAGCAAGCAAGGGAAGCAAGGAGAGAGAGAGATAGAGAGAAAGTGAGTTTGTGTTCTCTCCTCCAAACCAAAAACCCCTCCCTTTGATGAATGTGCAGGGGTCAGGAGGTGTGACGTCACTAGGGGCCTCTGGATGAGCCAGCGACTTGCCTTCAGGGTTAGGCACCCAAGGGTAAGGGGGGGGGGAGACCGCAGATGGAGGTGAAGGGGGGACCCTTTTTTCCCAGCCCTGTCATGTGACGGCAGGGCTTGTGGTGGGAGCTGCACTGTGTGTGCTAGTCCGCGGCCTGGCTATCCGGTCCAGGACAGGGGGCGGGAGCTTGGATGGCCACACAGAGGCTTCCCTGGAACTGCTGGAGGGGCTGCAGGCCTTTTTTTCGCCCGCCGATGGAGTTGCACATCACCTGGGAGGCAGGGCTCGGTTGCTGCCCACCCTACTCCCTCTCACAGCTCAGTGACATGGAGGGGGTAGCTGGGGGGTGGGTGGGCGGGAACCTGCGACTGGAGCCGATGGATGTGGCAGCTGTGGCAGAGCAGATGGCCTTCCAGTGGATAACAGCGGTGGCCCTCCTCGTCATTTAGCTTCAGACCACAGTCCTGAAAAAGTACACAAGAAGACATGAAGACAATCAACAATGTGTGTGTGTGTATGTTTGTTTAAAAAATCTTTTTTCTTAAGAGAACCAATTATCTTGAAATGTGGTGGAATAGTAGAGTATGGTTCAAGGAATAACCCATTAACCTTTGGAGCAGATTCCATAGAGGGAGGATGCAGGATGTTTTGAACTTTCTTTAACATGGTCAGATAGGGTGTTAGCCTTCTAGTTCTCCTCTGTCGTATGGTTATATCTTTCTCATGTTTTACTTGCTGTTATTTTAATTTCCATTCTTTGTTATTTTGTTCAGAAAAGTGTGATATAAAGTTAAGTGTATTATCAACATAATTAGGATATGCTCCTGGTAGATGGATTTTATATCTTTGGACAGAGCTAGGCCAAACATTTCCTCCTTCCTTCCTAGCATACAGACGTGACAGTGTTAACGATCTTCTCGTTTAACTCTCTGACAGAAAGCAAATCAGTGCATTAACAGAGAATTATGTCTTTAAACCAACATTCGGTGGATTGTCGCATTTACTGTGAGTTTTCAAACTTTTTAAACTTAAACTGGTGAGAGTGAAATGTTGTCTGGTTGTTACAGGGCCTGAAGAATTCAGTGAGATGCAGGATGACACACACATCAATGCACAGACTTCGGTCATGTGGATGGTTTGGTGCTGTGGACGCGGAGTCCTGAGGCGAGGCTCTGATACAAGTGAGATGATCTGTACACAAGGGGTTTTCCTCAGAGTTCAACTGTCCAGAAGCAACAAGGAGGCATAAATGAAGCCACTTTACTGCAGCAGACAGGCCCCAGATTGACCTGTGGTCTTGTGCATTATTCTGGGTACATCTTTTGCATGTCTGTGTAGATTTGACAGTGATGGAAACACTACACCTATCACGCGTTTGTGAATGGATGCTTTGAACTGCTGAGAAGTTACGAGCAGGTCTGTGAGGGATGAGAGTGTGGGGGACAACACAAGACTGACTGGCCCTGGACCACTCTGCTGCCATCATCACTCAGAACTGGGTAAGCAGCTCAAAATTCATCAACAGAAATGAATTCTCACACTGCACATGTGAATCTCACTGTATCTTCTGCTAGGAACCAAGCCCCTTTTCTCTGGAATGGACTTTATTACAAATCAAAGAAGCCCATTCAGTTGAAATCTTTATGTCAAGACTAAAACATTACTTTTATTAATTTCATTATAGTTTACCCCCAATCCCAGAGGCCGTCAGCTATAGTCTCGACGGTCACTGTTTTACAGTCCAACTGGTTTATTTATCACACAATTTAAACACTTCCCCAGATAAATAACTGAAAATCCATTTTGTAGGTGTTTAGGTCCAAATAACATGCTGGCTGATCTGTTTATGAATATAGATAAATTAAAAAGGCTTTTGCGCGCCACATGGAGTGTTCACCTGCCGGCAACCAAAGCCTACTCAAACATAATTGGTCAAACTAGAAACAGAAACCAGAAGTCTTCCAGCCCCAAAATCCTGTCCCTCACCTGCAGACTCTGCATATTGACATTTAGAATCTGATTATAGAGATTGAGTCTACAGTAGAACTTATTTAGCTCCAACCCACTTTCCAAACATCCCTTCTCTCAACATGGTTCACTTATTTAAATTAAATTCAAACATCTTGATGTGTCTCTCGGTAATATTTTTTATTTTTGTATTATATGTGGGTTTTGTCCCATTCTCTTTAATTGTAAAGTGTGTTCAAACCATGCAGCTTTGTGATTCTGCCCTTTTAAATCAAATTGATTGAATTTTTGCTCTAAAAAAATGCATTATTGTTTTTTTTTTTTTTTAAACCTGTCATGAATTTACCATCTCCAGGATGATTCAGCACTGGACTTTACTCTTCCTCTGTCCCCCGGAGATCGGCTGAATGATTAACCACCTCTTACATGATATACATGGTGGAATAAACTGCAGGATGTGCTTTGTTGAACTTATCACTCACACTCACAACAATGTGTCTGAGTCAAATGTCAAGATGACTGGGATCTCACATGTCTGGTTTCAGCAACAAGTCCCCAGCTGAGTTCAGACCTCGACGCTGGAATGTGCTTAGTCAGTAAGTCACAATGTTGTGCTGTAACCTTGGGTTGATATCTGTGTGTGTGTGTGTGTG